GAGGGAAGCAGGCGACTTTTGGCCACTTTTAATCGCTCGGTATTAATTAACCACAAGTTTTTAAAGAATAAATTTGGTGTTCCGCATAAGACTAACCACAAATCTTTCATATGTAATGGTTAAAAGAGTAACAAAAAAACAAAGTTTAGTGGTTCTTTAAAGGTCACATAAACCCTAGGGGGTACAAATACATAAATCACTAACTGGCATCGTTATAAATGAAACCCCGTCATTAAAACTACTCATTTCGACCTTTAATTGACTTAAATCGACCTTTTTGACAACAGTGCACAATTCTCACCCGCGAACGAAATTTCAACCAATCAGAGCGGCGCGCCTCTGTGACGTCATATGAGGAATAGCTTTGAGGGCCGATGCAGAATTCATCTACATTTTAGGGGGTTAAATTATCTTGTTTACAGGCTTGTATAAACCTGAAATCGTGACAATTGTTGTGGAAAATGAAAGCTATATGTTCTCACAATCTACTGTCATTTAATTTTGTCTCCTGCTTTGCCTAGTTTCCGAGTTACAACTTGTTTTCATAGACGATTCTGTCAAAATCGATTGGTGTCGTTAGGCCCTATTTGTATAATGACTGATCCAAATTGATCCCATTTCTGTGTTTTTTTACCTCGATATTTAATCATGTCATGTAAAAATCTGTTTGTATTCTCAAAACAGTGTCGGCCCATAAGTTTTCACATGCAATACAGCAATTAATACTCCCTTGTTGTAACCCGTGTTAGGTGGTATAAACCTACACATGTTATTTGTCATCATTCACTTGATGGTCAGTTAATGAATTTATAACAGGTATAATTAGTGGTAACACACTTAGATTACCCGGACAAAGGTTCCCATTTGGCATTTCTTGTGTCTGGAGTAAATATTCAACATTATAAACATCGATCAAAGGATTAACCGATAACACGCTGATTGATTAATTACTTTTATCTTACACAGCGGAATTGTCAAAAGGTAGTGTTTATGTATGTAGATTTACTAATCTATACTGAATACACTCTGTCGTGTCGGTGTCTGCGTAAAAACAACGTCCTTCTTCAAAGGATTAACCGGCAATACATTGATTGATTGCCCATTATTGGCTAACTAAATTACTGTTTTTAAAGAAAGGCGGACATTATGCAATTAGTTGCCAGGTGTGCTATCTTGGGTGACCAATGAGACTATACACCAATACCTGAAAAGATTTATCACTTTTTCGTATATTAAACTGTTAAAAGACACATCATTTGGAACAGTTTTGTGGATATTGATGGATACATTCCTCGAACAAGGTAATGGCCTGATATTGTTCCTATAACTTTAATCTGTTTTAATTTTAATATTTGCATTTTGTTTTATTCATTTGTCGTAGCATTCAACAGAATCATTGTTTTCGCCGTGAAGTGTAATGAGACAGACAACATGCACTAGGGTGTGTGTGCGAATTATGATTCACATTGGCAAACTATAAAATGTCTAGATATTACAGTTCTGTTATAAATTCACTATAAGTATCAGCAGATCGTCTGCTTTTTATTTAGTTTCAAAATGCATACAAGTATGATAATAAACTAATTAGGATTATAAGACCAAATATAAAGACGCACATTGACTAGTATCTACATACTGGTGAGTGGACATTAACCATGGGAATGTAGCAAGAAATTTATCGCGCAGTATTGTGACTTCGACCCCCACCTCGCTTCCGTGGAAGAAATCGTTATGTTATAAGTTGTGTCATGCAAAATCCGTTTGGTTATGATTCCAATACATATTTAACAACGAGTAGAAAGTAGTCTTGATTTTCTAACTTGATGAAAACAAACTATAATCTCATTAATTCTAACAGATTTTTTATTTTTAAAATGGCGGCATTCTGTCGGGAACATCCGCCAGTCTGAGGATAAATGGTATTTAGGTTTGTTTTCACCGAGTTACAAAATCAAAACTACTTTCTACTGGTAGTAAAATATGTATTTTATTGATGGCCAATAGGATTTTGCATGACATAGCGTATAACATAACAATTTCTCTCGTGGCAGCGAGGTGGGTGTCAATATAATACTACTTACAATATTATTGTTACTTCGACCACAACCTCACTTCCGAGGAAGAAATCGTTATGTTACAAGTTGTGTCATAGAAAATCTTTATGGTCATCAATCATATGCATATTTTACTACAACTAGTAAGTAGTTTTGATTCTTTAACTTCCGTGAAGCGATCTGAACACAAGTAAGATATCGTTTCAGGCTTCCACAACGCTCGCTTCGCACTCACAAACATAACCCATTTAGCACGAACTGCGGGTCCTGTGGAAATCTGTGCATGGGGACACCATCGCCCGACCCCTAGAGCAATTGACGACAAAGCAACGATTCGGCATGTCGTCGTTGATGTCGAGAAATCATCAAAATGATGAGCGTGCTACACATTTTCTATACAACTAACTGAAAATCGTTCCTCATATGACGTCACTGCAGTGCTCTGGCGACAGAGTTACGTAACCTGTCTGTGGTTTCGTTGGCGGGCGAGAGGGAAGCAGGCGACTTTTGGGCCACAAGTTTTAATCGCTCGGTATTAATTAACCACAAGTTTTTAAAGAATAAATTTGGTGTTCCGCATAAGACTAACCACAAATCTTTCATATGTAATGGTTAAAAGAGTAACAATAAAAACATTGTTAAAAGTTTAGTGGTTCTTTGGGTATGATGTTTTGATTATGATCAGCGTTTCATTGAGTATTTTATGTTTATTAGTTTTCGAGTTAGATTGCAATTCATCGGTCCGCTTTTGAGCCAAACCGACTATAATGGCGAGTGAAGCGAGCAAAGGTTTGCAACCATTCGTAACTACTCGCCTCTTTCCGTGACCTACAGATGGTTTCAATTTAGTGTATTTCTGACGATCTTGTGGGCTTGTTTTGGAGATTGTACGTGCGCTTTCCAACATTTTGGGGAAATATAATCATATATCGCTACGAGTTTCAAAACAATAAATCACATCTATTTAACTACTTAACTTTAATATATAACATTGGCATTATGTTTCACATCTTTGGGGATATTTTAGTCTGACTTGTTTTTGTCATTCACAATTTGCTCAGCGTATCCATTGTTAACTTCAACCAGGAGTATGGCAGCAAGGTTGCAAGGAAATTGAGAAATATTTTAAAGTTATTTTTTAGCATCTGCTTTGGGATTTATTGTAGCTGAAAAAGATTATTTATTTGCACATCCAATAAAACAAATCCTATTTGTGATTCTTAAACCCTTTTTAGAAATACACATTTGGAAATATAAGGTGAACATCTGGTAATAATTACTTCCGAATAGGTTTTAGCAAATATCTTTTCTCCTTCCTTAAGTTGAATCAAAGAGGTTTAGTTTTTAAATATAATATATACAATAATAAAATACCAGCAATACAATATACGAGTGATTCTTTGATATTAAGCACCATTGGAATAAAGTAGTCCCGATGTGCATGCGCCAATATGAAATCCTTCCAGAGGGGCACGGGTCGCTATTGGGCTTGTCCCGGAATAACACAAAGTTGGTCACGAATGGGTTGGCAAGTTAGCCACTTCCCTTGCTTCGGTTCTAAAAAATATCAAAATAAAATCTCGCCACCATCAAAGGTAGACACCTATTTCCTCACAGGATTGTGCTCTCAGATTTCCAACATCATATTTAATAATTACTCTCCTAAAATGTATGTCATTCAACATTTTAAGCGCCACACGAACTCTAATCGGTGATATAAACCGATATATTTCACTGTATTCGCTGTATTTCACTGATGAAATGCATTGATAGATGCTTCTCTTGGTTAGTTTAAGATAAGTCATGTTCACTTCATTCATTGTATGTTCTTAAATTATGCTCTTATTTTCTATTGCATTCTATGCTGTTGGTTGATTCCAGTAAAAGCAACATTTTAAAATACTAGTGCGTAGTATTGATTAAGTACACCAGTAAATTTATAATTATACTTAGATCAGACCATTTAGCACTAATCGAACAATTTAATGTACATCAAAATGGAATACAGTATAATAAAGTAAGGGTTCGACATTATAAGCTGAGTAAATTTAAATTACGGATAACCGGGCTCGTGGAAATATAGTAATTCTTGTGCACGTAGTGTATATTTTATTGCGTGTTTACAATCAAAGCGTATGTCAGTGAATGATTTTCTAAGTAATGAATATCTGTGTTTAATCCAAATGATTCGTTCTACCCTTGATCAATCGATGTTTAAACACTGTACATATTATGGTAACAATACTTACACCCGTGAGCCCACATAGTACTTGTTGTAATATTCAGTTGCTCAAGTATTGCTAGGTTCTCAGTATTGTTGAGCTCTATTTATGTATACGTTGTACACGTTCACTAACATGCCCTTCGACATATGATCTTTAGTAATTCACAATAGACTAGACATAAATGGTGTGGTCATGTTATTCAACTAGTAGACCGAAAGTTTATATTATTTTATGTATTTTTATGATTATGTTTAAGTTGCATTCGGTGATTCTGTTCTATTATCATTTAAGCTCTTCATTAATAACAAAAAATATTTCAGTGTTTGAGAACACATTTAGTATACGTGTCCAACTGAAGAATAAAATGATTTATTTGCAATGCATTTTTCTCAGTTGGGCTAGATCATGTGTATTATATATTTCCATGTGACGTAAAGTGTCTCCGCTACCTTGTGTAAGATACGTTGTCGGTAAAGGTTTATGTAACTATGAATTCATGGTTCTCTTTAGAATATATCAATTATTGTCCAATGTAGTAATTATTTGATGCTTATTATGAAATATAAACACTGAGCTAATGCACAGGATGAACACTGGCCACTAATAAATGCTTCTCTTGGTTATTTAAGGGTTGCGGTCCCAAGCTCATTCCCAAACAACAAATTCCCATTATCAAAACTATTCTGACCAAGTATAAAACCTAAAAAGGTTATTATAAAAGGTGTGTAGGTGTGTGTGTAACTATGAATTCGTTTTTTATTTGTTTCTGTTTAAGCACTCATCATATTCAATTATATGCCCAATGTAATAATCCAGTCTGATGCTATCCAGTGATCAACAGCATAAACATGTGTTGTTTAACGTTGTACTCGGATGAACTATATGGTCCACTAATGATCATGTCTTCTCCAGACAATATTGATCGATGTTATGAGCATCGGTCCCAAATGGGGCACAATGACGCCCAAGCAAGTGGGCGAGTCTGACCATCCGAAGTTGCCTATTACGACAATCATGGGTTATTGAAGACCAATTCTAAGTTTGTAGCAATCATTGACAATATATTTGTATACTTGGACATTTACTGTTATCGTGAGACAGATCAGAACCCATTATATTGTATTATTTTATTCGGCCCACCTGGCACATAAAAATATGAAAAGGCATTATGTTAACAGCAATTGCTGAAAATATATAAAAAGCATCCTGTATCACATGGTTTCATTCGCAATTCATGCTTCTCATTAAAGCACCTTAATTGGTTTATTATTGATTGGAATGGGCAGTTTTTCCAGGTTCTCTCCTCCTGCAGGCACACCGAATTTACCTGTTAAAATGTGCGCATGAACAAACATACTCATAAGTATCAAATCAGTGAGTGAGTGAGTGAGTTTAAGTTTTAGGCGGCTTTTTGCAATATTCCAGCTATATCAAGGAGGGGACATTAGAAATGGGTTTTACACATTGTACCCATGCGAGGAATCGAACTGGGGTCTTTGGCCTGACAAAAGAACGCTTTAACCACTAAGCTACCCCATCGCCCCAAGTATCAAATCAAAATGTAACTGTATTTGTTATTGACAATAAATAACATAATTGAGTAAGTCGAGTTCGAATACAAATTCCGAGATCTTATATGGTGAAACATTTTGAATATGTCAGAAATATAGTCCAACAACACGGATTCTTTAGTGCAGTTATTTGGAAGCGTATCTGAAGTGATATACATTTGAATATTAGAATGTCAAAATACTGTAATGCATATGTACGTGTAATATACTCATGGAAACGAAAATGGGAACACATAGAAGTATAAGTGTTCCTCTATTCCTTTCCAGGTTTCTTCATAAGGTATGTATTGCACTGTGGGTGAAATTCTGGAAATAAATAAAGGAACACTTGCACTTTCATGTGTTCCCTTATTTGTTTCCATGATATATAACAAATATATAGTTCAGCGGTTAGGCCTACTGTGTTCGCTGCTCATTGTTGGTTAACATCCTCTACAGGAGGGTGAAACGAAAGACGCAGCTTTTGGGCTACGCGTTGGAGAAAAATATAGTTTCCGAAATACCTGGAATATACCATTTCCCCTCAGGGTTTACCAAACTGATAACGGTTCACTTGATGTCTGCAAACACTTGCTTGGTTCGTCCCACTTGCTCCTCAAGATCATCAATCTAGTATTAGTATAATGAGCGTGATCCTCAAATACCCCCAGATGGGAGCGGAACTAGAGAGTATAGAGTACGGTGATAGTGTCAGCAATTAACACTATGGATTAACTTCAGGCATATTATCAGTACGGGTACACTGACATTAAGTCACAGAAATAATGTATTGTATTTAAAATTACTGAATAAATATATATCTAACAAAAAAAACAAATATATATACGCTAAAAGGAGCCTAGGCCAATTCTTAATTCCAAGAAAATGTTAACTTGCTTTTTCTAAAACAATAACAGAATCCAAAAAGAGACCATAAGAATTCTGGCATTTAGTCACAGAATTTTGTTTATCCTTTTTAAAAATACATAAAAAAATACACAGGAGCCCGGAACAATTTTAAGGCAATCTTAACTTGTTCAGTCATCCAGGACTTCAGATGGGCTCCCTTTTCCCTGTAAACTCTAGGGTCTGGTAGAAGACAGACTACCGTTTAGGAAATCGAACCAGGAATTTCTGTTTGGCGAGAAAAAACGACTAAACCATTAGGCCACCCCAACAGTCAGTTCGGAAATTGTGACATTCAACTTTTAAAGTCAGGGGATTTGTAATTTCTTTACACTACTGTTTTCATCTCGTTCTATTATAAACAGTTAAAATATTAAGTGATTTAGATTTACATCTGTGATTATCCTGACACATCTCACTGTGATCTGATGAGCTCTTCAATCTGACACTTCACATATGCAGTATAAATATATACGTCCACAATATTAGTGGCATATCCACTGAGTCTTTCTGGAATGAACACATGAAAAACGCTAAGTGTCCAACTATCTTGGTTTCATTTTCATTATTTCTTCCTTTGTCCCTTGCTCCTCCTCGTGTTTCCTGTATATTGAGGATGGTCTTAGCGCCATGCACAGAGCGAACACGTACAAGGCGAGAGTCAAAACCCGAGCCGCTGCCGGGATGCCCATCACCAGGTACCGGAACAACTCTATATCGTATAGTGCGCATGCGCCTCTCCCTCCACATCCGGAATTCCAGTCAAGGCAGGCTTTGTCAATCACCCAACCGAAAAATATCGGTCCCGGTAGAAAGCCTAAGGAGAAGGAGGGAAAATTAGCGAATTGGGTATAACTAAACAAGTTTTCAAATCTAAATTTGTCATAGCTGGTCATCTGATGTGGAATGTAATCCTGAAATCATGCAAGACTTAGACATAGAAATAGATGGAACCCACAGGGGCGTGTGCTGATATGAACACAGTTTTAGACAGTAATGACACTAGAACCGAATTACTCTGGCCACTATATATGACAATATCGATAATCAAGGCTTCTAGAAAGTATTGATACATTATTCGTTCATAAGATGTCCATTTACAATGATTATCAAATGCTCACCTAAAAGCGTATATAAAAACGAGGCCAAACCCAGTGAAACCGGCTTGTCTTCTTCGCTTACACTTCTGTAAACAGCAAAACGTATATATATACGGAATTATTTCCACTTCTTTGCCTGTGGGACCGATCTTATAATATTCTGGGGTTGAGTTGGGAGGGGATATGTTTGAAACAGAATTTTGATTTCAGGGGATTACAATCATCCATGAAATGCGAATGAGGGGCTTCAGTCAGTTCGCTGACCCTAACCTCTGTATGCAAACTCACGAACTAACCGATTCCCACTGTTAAGATGGTGTGTGGAACAAACCAGACAAAGGATCATCGCTATTCGTGGGAAATTCTTTGCAATGAAGACTGAAACTACTATTTAATAAAATAATGTCCCGTAATGTTCATAAATTCATGGATGTCAACTCCTTTATTTTGACGAAAGCGACGTTTCGGAGTATAGTATTACTCCTTCATCAGTTGAATGAAAAACTATGTGTATCACTTCTAAATGCCGATCAAAGACTTCAAAATATTCTTTTGTTAAGAATTATTAGCATACGATAAAACTGTCTTTTCGGTTTGTTAATTCAAAACGACTGATATTTATTCCATTTATTTTAATTATCCATCAGCACTTTTATATATCGCAGGTATATAACGTTATGCAGCAGGGGACTTGGTTCACAACACTTTTGGTTAAATCATACAGCTTTGTAAACTGTTCAAGATAAAGTTTTGCATGAATTTGTGTCTTAAGCATCTCATGTGTGGACGTACCTTATAAGAGAAATAAAAATGGGCATTCCCCCCATTGCCATGGCAAAACCGGCAACAACTGCCACGGCAGTGAACACGTAGAACATTGGGCATTCCGGAGTACATAGTCCAGGGGTCGCTGTTTTAATACTTCCGGTCACGCACGCGCAGCCGGAGTAGGTCTACATGAAAAAATGACGTTAATGAGTCGGGCGATGAACACTGTTGGGCAAAACGAAGTATACACATAAAAATGGGATTGACAAAAAAATTACAAAAGTTTCTAGATTCAAAAAAGACAAAAAGACACACTGGAAACTTAAGTTCTAAAACACAACAGCGTTGCATTATCAAACACATCTCTATCGAAAATCAACGTATTGTTTGTGTAATTTACAGTCACCACTGAATCGGAGTATACTTTCTTTTGCCTGATCAACATATTTATAGATTCAGTCCAACGTTTTAGGATTGCCAACATCCTTGATCGGTTCCCTCGGAGACGCAGACAAAGATGTATTATTTGTCTCTGTAAGAATTGTGTGACATTTTGCGACAATAAAGGAAATATATATAGTGTTTGTTTTGTATGTTTGTGTCGTTTAAGGGGTGGTGGGGTAGCCTAATGGTTAAAGCGTTGGCTCGTCACGCCGAAGACCCGGGTTCGAATCCCCACATGGGCACAATGTGTGAAGCCCATTTCTGATGTCCCCCGCCGTGATGTTGCTGGAATATTGCTGAAAGCGGCGAAAAACCAAACTCAGTCAGTCAGTCAGTTGTGTCGTTTAATGCCGCACTTCGCACTATTCCAGATATAATTATGACGGTGCTCTGTAAATAATCGAGGAAGGACAAGACAACCTAGTGATTAACATCATGAGCATCGATCCACGCAAATATTTCGATAATACGCATCAACCAAGTCAGCGAGGCACCTAATCTCGTAACTGGCTTCTTAAAGCCAATTTTGACGCGGATTTTCACTGGTGCAATCTAAAAAGGCTTGCCTTATCAAGGCCATTTGAATCGTGCGTACTATACCGCTTGTGGCGATGTCTGGTAAATTGTAAGGAGGCATCTGTGTGTGTAAGAGCCTTAGTTTATGATCCTTTGAAACAAGAGGAATAAAGTAATGATATGGTCATGCGCCATTCTTTCACAACGGGCGGTGGGGTAACCTAATGGTTAAAGCGTCCGTTCCTCATGTTGAAGATCCGGGTTCGATTCCTCACATGGGTACAATATGTGAAGCCCATTTCTGGTGTCCCCCGCAGTGATATTGCTGGAATATTGATAAAAGCGGCGTACAACCATACTCACTCACTCATTCTTTCACAAACATCAAGTACGACTTCACCGAGTTGACAATAAAGATATTTTGAAATCAATACAAAATATCACTGAAAAAATAATCGGACTCTAGAATTACACCAAGTGTCTTCATTTGTCACTGGCCCGTGAAGATCCGGGTTAGAACTGATCTTCAGTAACCCATGCTTGTCATAAGAGGCGACTAACGGTATCGGGTGGTCAGGCTCGCTGACTTGGTTGACACATGTCATCGTATCCCAATTGCGTAGATTGATGATCATGCTGTCGACCACTGGATTGTTTGGTCCAGGCTTGATTATTCACAGACCGCCGCCATATAACTGGAATACTGCTGAGTGCAGCGTTAAACAACCAACCGACCAACAGTTGAGATTACCGGGTTAATGTTTTTGCGGTCAATATCATACTTAAATATCATACGTTAACATTACTATTATAAGTATATAGGTTTTATTCAAACCCTAATACAGGTACTTTAAAGTACTCCGTGAACTCGAAGATGCCTTACATGATTGGTGGTGAAGTCGCTGCAGCCGGCGTGGCAGGGGGAGAAGTAATTTACACCGTCGGCGCCACACATTGGGAAGTAGGGGGCGTCTGTGCAGCCACAGTCACTGTTACAACCGACAGGAGACGCCACTGAAGACGACGTTGAATAATTTGAACCAATATACATTGTAGTGTTCCTGAAAAAAATAGCCATAGCATTAGAGTCCACTTTTCTTGTTAAAATTTAAATGTCATTTTAAAAGTAAAATTAATTAAGTTAAATGCTATATTTCGTCAGAATTAGATGACTATAATGAAGGTTTAGGTAGGGAATGGTTAAAGCTTTGTGGAAATCTTGATAATGTAGTCAGACGGACAATCAAACTTACGGAAGCATACAGGGCGATGTTATCTAGGAATTAAATGATAGTTGGTTGAAATTTCAACAAACTTACTTGAAAATACAAAATAATCAGTTACCTCGGAAACCTATGATAACGGTTATCTTTAACAACAAACCTAGTAATATAAACAGAGCAAACCACTATCAATGGTATTGGGCGTGTCAAAGGGACGCAACTCTGCAAAGCGAATTGCATCCCCGATAATCCCCAGGGTACACGTTCCGATAAATCTCCACTATACCCTGAATGCATCTACGGCTCGGACCGATGATTTTATTACCTCCCTTGGTTGGCTTTTTATCCAATCAGGTGTCTACGCTGGGAAGTTGAGCGTACCAATCACAACTCACCTTTCGCTTTTTAAAGTATCTAACCGATTAAACTTGGCAACACAATAATATATTGGCAGAGGTACTCTGAAAGAGGTAGAAGGAGTTCTTGCATATATTTTTTTAAGGTTTCGGACCTGTCAATTTGTCTGTATGTGTCCCCCCCAAACCTGAGTAGCAAATTTCGCGGCTGCGACGGCTATTTTTGTTGACATTGGCAAGCTCGGTTGTAACAGCGGCTTATCTGACTGGCTACTGTGGGAATGCGGAGCCACCAAAGGGAGGTTATACAATTATCGGGCCGAGCCGTAGGTGCATTCAGGGTATAGTGGAGATTTATCGGAACGTATACCCTGGAGATTATCGAGGATGGGCGAATTGCGGCACAGGGTTGTCTGTGTTCTCCCATTTAGAAGGCCCTCGCTAGCTGTATGCCTATATATTCAGTGTATGTATACTTTGTATACTGTTTGTATGTTGTTTAACGCCGCACATGCCAATATTTCAGCTTTACCGCGGCGATCTGAACTTAATCGAGTCTGGACCAGACAGTCCAGTGATCAACATCATCAGCATCGATCTACGCATTTGGCATCGATCTACGCATCGATCTACGCATCGTACTATGACATGTGTCAACGAGTCTGACCACAATCCCGTTAGTCGCTCTTACGACAAGCATGTGTTGCTGAAGAACAATTATTATAACGACCGTTTCAATATTATAACTTAACACAGGCGGTGTCTCCCAATAGTCTTTGGGGACGCGATTCACTGCGCATGCAGTCGAGAACAAAGGGAGCTACAACTGGCATCCACGATTCGACGTGATTATGTTTTTAGGTATGTGGGACGGTGGGGTAGCCTAGTGGTTAAAGCGTTTGCTCGTCACGCCGAAGACCTGGGTTCGATTCCCCACATGGTTACATTCTGTGAAACCCATTTCTGGTGTCCCCCACAGTGATATTGCTTGAATATTGCTAAAAGCGAAGTAAAACCAAACTCACTCATTTCTAGGGTTGGGTATTGCCAAAAGTTTCGTTCTGCGATATGTGTTGGCGTATATGTATTGCAATATATTGTGAAAATGTGACAGTACTGATTTGGAAATATAAATACACATGGAAGTATTAGCTTACCGGGGGATCGTCCCTCCTTTGCTTATAACGGGGTTCACGCACCCTATGAATGTCATCAATGTTTGTACAATGACGGAGAAAAAGACAATTCCCACTGACACCTTTAGACAAGTCAAGGGAGACAACTTCATCTTTGACGTCACAATCCCACCAATGATAGTTCCCGCACAGTTTGAAAGTAAGCCTACAGCACCTGTAAATAACACAGATGAACACGTTGAAGACTGCTTTTTTCTCAACAACTAAAGACAGAAAGCAAAAAGCAATTTATAGGTTACCACTTTGACAAACACCGACTTGGGACGTTGGTTGTGGCCGCATACAGATCGGTATTAGGGTGAGCGAAGGATTATGATCGACATACCAAGGATCATGATCGATTTACCAATGAGCATGGTCGACTACCAAGGGTCATAGTCGACTTACCAAGGATTATGTTCGACTTACCAAGGATCATGATCCACTTACCAAGGATCACGTTCGACTTACCAAGGATTATGTTCAACTTAACCATGGATCACGTTCGACTTACTAGGATTACGTTCGACTTGCCAAGGATCATGTTCGAATTAACCAAGGATCACGTTCAACGTACTAGGATCACGTTCGACTTACCAAGGATCATATTCGATTTCCAAGCAGGCAAAGTGAACTGTGTCTCCATGTATTTTGGGAAGAAAGCCATCATACCACCTATCGTAAAGAAGGTGATGCAGTTGGCGATGATGATGGGGAAGTAGATTGGGTTGCTCACGAGTCGAACCAGAGCGCTCAAGAAGCCTACAAGGTAATATAATTGTTGAAAACGAGGGGTGAGTGAGTGAGTATTATAATGTAGATACACGTGGGTACGAAGAAACATCAAATCAAGTGAGTGAATGAGGTTAGTTTTACGTCGCTTTTAGCAATATTCCAGCAATATCACGGCTCGGCACACAAGACATGGGCATCACACATTGTACTCATGCGGGGAATCGAACCCGGGTCTTAAGCATGACGAGCAAACGCTTTAACTACTAGGCTACCCCACCGCCGCCCGTCTTGGTCTGAGTGCCCGCATTAAAGAGAAGCTAAACGATACCTGTGACTTTAACGGGAGTTTTGACACCGGGCCTGTCTTCAGCTGACCTCATCCGTCTGGGGAAGCACATGACAGGGATAGAGAAGATGATTGCCAGTACCCCGAAGGACAGGAAGCCCAGCCACCACGCTCCTAGCCACCGGGGATGCATTGGTGTCATATTCGTGACTGCGAGAGAAAGTGAGTTTATTCGTATCGCACGTGAGATTGAACAACGTGTACATTTATACGCATCCCAAAAAAGGACCACCCCAATATTCACGATTTAAGTATTATATGGATCATAATATGCACTATTGAATACTTTAATACTGACAATTGGGGTGTTGCATAACTTTCTTGCTGAGTATATATCCATGTAGCTTCTGGCTTACATCAGTGAACGATTGGTCCTGCACATTGGCGAAGCACTTTTGTTAAAAGGTTTGCCATTTTGCAAAAACAAAAACGTTATTATAAGACATGACGTGCTTTTGGTAACTAGTAACTTGTATCAATTCCCTAATTCGACTCAAATGATTATAAATATATATATATGGACAATATCCCTGATTGATTGGCCGTGAAGCGGGAGTATTAGAGACTTCAGAAATACCTGTATTTACGAAACTGACCAAAAATGCGATTTTGACCTCATGCTTCGTTCTCGATCGGTATGTTCAGGGTCATTAAATAGGATGAGGATTCATATGTGTTTTATACTGATAATGATTCCGGGTAAATTAAACCGATAAAACCTTTCCGTATTCATATGAAATCTCTGCTAAGGCAGAATCGGCAGGATAATTCTGACTACGTATATCATAGGACTATATCATAGGTAACTGTTTATGAATTAGTATGAAATCGTGATGATAAAAGGTATACACGGACGGCGATCGTATCATCTAAACTGTACATCGTTGATCTGTTCCTTCCAATTACGACCTTTACTTTCCTTACTGCTGTGGGCTGAACAAACACACGTGTTTCACTCAAACGAAGGGGCTCACTCGCCTCAAAGAAGAATTAGAGTTACTTACTCTAAATGGATGGACTCAAGGCTGCCTACCCTCTTCATATATTCATGTAGGTGAACATGGGACCCACCTTCGAATGTGATGAATATCTTGCTGAACACCCCTGCGACTCCGAAGGCGATGGCCATGGCACAGATTGCACTTCCCATGATGATTCCTGTCAACAACGGCATACTTTCATAATATTTATGTATGAGCAGGATGCAATATTTGACATAGAACATTAATTGATAACGACGTGACAATAGCCTGCTGGTGTTTTTCATGTTGCAGTCCTTGGCTCAGTCCTCCAGGATGCTGTCCTTAGAGATGCGGTTGTTCCCTTCTTAAAGGTGCAGCCATTTTGTATGTATTCCTTTAGGATTCTCTCCTTCAGTTCTTCAGGGTTAGGTCCATCTTGTACTGCAATTCAGGCGGCAGTCCTTCAGGATGCTGACCTCGTCATTCTGTAATTCATGGTGCAAACTCTTAGGGTGCAATACTTTTCGATGCTCAGCTTCTTGTGCTGCAATTTAGGGCGCAGTCCTTCAGGATGCCGACCTTCTTGTGCTGTCATTCAGGACACAATTCTTTAGGATGCTGGCCTTTTTGTGCTGCCACTCAGGATGCTGACCTTCAAGGTTCAATCCATCTGGGTACTGTCCTTCAGGGTTCTAGGAACAATACTTCTGGGTGTACTCATTTAGGCTGCTGTCCTCGGGGTTCTGTCCATTAAGACAATCCTTCAATCCTTCAAGCTATCCATAAACAATGATTTACTTCAAACTGAAAGATTTTTTTGAAAGGCTGTTACAAGGCAAACACCTAATCACATTTATGGTAATTTCAGGAATATGGAGAAACATACTGAACAGTGAGACAAAATTAAATATAAACAGTCTCATGATCACACTTTATAAGGTCTAAGTATCTTACCCATGTACAAGGCTGTTTTGGTTTTCGGAACATTGTCATCAACGTAGGTCGCGAGGCCCGCAACTCGGGGAGCCTTGCTGACACCTTGGATAATCATTCCTAGGGCAAAGATAGCAATCGCGATCTTCCTCATACTCTCGTCCTCTACATACGAGAACTTGGTATCGCTGCACACGTCTTTTCCCGTTGAATTTGGCTTAGACGTTGGGGCAACGGTGACCTGAAGATGACACAGCGTCCCAGTTTGAAACTTCGAGGTGACGTTGGCATCAGTTGAAGGATTAATTTGATCCCGTGTTAATATGAATGGTATAACACATATCAAACCCGCAATGCCGTAGAACAAAGTTGTCAGGGACAACAGTCGAGGGATATGCATTTTCCGGATGCAATAACTCACAATGACAGTTACTAACACGAATCCTATCTCGTTACAACTGATGAGAAACCCAGTGACTGAGCTGCTAAAGCCAAAATGGCGCTCAAGGGCTGTGATTTGAGTTGCCATATAGATTTGCAAGGCAGTCGTGAGCAATCCTGAAAAGCTGTAAACTGCTGTAAAAGAAGCCATTGTGCCGCAGCACTGTATACAATTTGGTGTACAACCTCCAATCCCGCATTTGGTGTCATCTGGGGTTGTCTCCCTTCCATCCCTCTGCTTCCGCCAGCCTCGTTTTAGAGAACTATCGGGGAGCATGAGCATAGAGCCCTTAGCGTCTGTATCCTCTAAATCCATGTTGATACTTTCCATGTATCCAGATTGTCCCTGCAAAACACAATATAAGTATTATGATTGTGCATTTAACATCACCAACACACGTTTTTTTGTTTGTTTGTCTGTTTGTTGATCGATGTGCGAAAAGTAGGATGCTGCCAGTGTGCGATGAAGGACTAATACTATGGTTTTTGTTCATTTTGCTTCTGGTACCGTTATACCAACTATATCGGACAACCGAAACAGGTTACAAATATTGCACGCCATATGGAGTGACCGGCAAACGCTTTAATCACTAGGCTATTCTACCGGTCCCATACGACCATACGATAACATGTACAACCAGGGCCGGATAGATCCTTCTGAGAAAGTGGTGGGTTGGTGGTGCACAGTTCATTTTCACCCGTTTTCACGAGAGTTCCAATGCTCTTTTAATAAACTTTCAGGACAGGGAGGGAGGACACACACGCACACACACACACACACACACCACCACCACCACCCTCCGTATCCGCCTATGGATACGATGTCATGTAAGCATCTCAAAGTGTTAGGTCGCTCTTACGACTAGCAAATGTTACTGAACACCGGCTGTTACCCGGAAAACCGACAGGGTTGTTCGTTTCATAGCGTGGCGTATTGTAATAATTTCGTTACATACTAAATCAGTTTTAAACAATGAATAAAGCTGTTCTGCACGGAGGGTTTTGTAAACAGCCGCGAGACACACACATTGAATCTTATCACGTTCCTGTTTCAGTGCTTTGTCGGTGTTCACCGACACTGATAACAAACTCAGGTTAAACCAGTGATTCTCAAGCTCTTATTGTCAGTTGGTTGAGCGACCAAGTCATTTAGCAGTCAGTCCGCATGCCTTACACGTTTATTATGCACGATCCATTGTTGCCACTAAGAAAATAACATGAAGCATGTGGGACCGTGTTGTTGAATGTCCTGTGTCCTTTAAGCCGGGATCACTCCCGTCGGTTCCTCTTGCTTTCTTCTGTCAAAGTGTCAACGTCAATCTGCACTTTTAAAATTTGCCTTTCTTTTTTTAAATTTTCTTTTTTTTTTTTTTCTTTTCTTTTTTTTTTTTTTATTTTATTTTTTTTTTTTATTTATTTATTTATTTTTTTTTTTTTGGGGGTTGAATTGTATTTTGTTTCTTCTTGTCTTTAATTTCTGGGGGTTGGGGTGTATACAGGTAATTTTGGGGATGCCTATGCAAGTCAAATCTGATTCTTATTAGGCGTGTCAGAACCAACAACAAAAGGTTCGAATCCCAGGATTCCATGCCCTTGGATTATACGAAAGTAGAAAGTTGTCTGGATTACTTCGGGGTTTTCTCCATATTAAGCAGCCACGCAATGATATACTGAAATGATTGTTCAAATCCGACGTTCAACCAGAAATCACATATTCTGTAAAAAATTCTACATATTGCACTAATGTCAGTCAGACCCAACCATCCTTATCTACGTAGTAGTGTCCCTATGTTATATCTAGCCACTCAGGAAAAGTACGTCGAAAATATGAAATCCCTACTGCGAAATAGGACGACTATATCTGTCAATCACGGTGTAAATCCCGGTCATGAACTGACACAAGCAATGTAACTGGATATATTGAAATCAAGTACTGAAATACACATACCCTTATATATAGAACAATAGAAGTATCCTGTAAATCTTGTGACAGATTGGCGTATGCACTATGGATATAGTGTAGTGATCAGCTGTTGAGATACACACGGGTCCTTCATGTAATACACGAAACCCTTGTTGATTTCAGCCATGAAATAGACATTTGTTGACATACATACGTCCTTTATAACACACGCTGTTATCTTACATGAAATAGACGCTGCATACATACGTCCTCGATATACCACGGTAAACATGCGTTGTTAATCTTACAAGTAGCTTCACATGAAATAGACACTACATGTATTGACACACATAGGTCCTCGATTAGCCTTGCTTCAAGGCTGTACTGAGTGTTAAGCCCATGTATGTATAGTAATTCTATCCTTAAAAGGGGAAAGTCTAGATGAGCGGACAGGACCCCAGTCTGTCATTTATAATTTTTTAGAAATGATCATTTACACTAATATATTACCTGAGAGACTTGTGCAAGCCAAGTCCTCGATATAACACGCCAGACACACGTTATTAATCTTACTAGTAGCTTAACCATGAAATAGACACTTAGACATACCCGAGACCATATCTATTATATGGTTTCAGGACATACACATGGGTAATAAACATGGCAAAGCCCCCTGCTGTTGATGTTGGATGGTATCATATGGATTTTATCTCAGCCCCGAAATGCACACAGATGTAAATACGGACCGATAGCATGTCACTGAAAGATGCATAATATTATAATAAACAATACTCCACCCAGAATGAGGAAACAGTATACGACAACTCTCGCACCAAGCTGTTCCCATAACCTGTAACCCTTATATTGAGACCTACAACAGTTACCGTGTATGCATCATAGCTATGGATGTGATCTAAAGAAAATGTTCAACGGAATGCAACCAGCATTCGCCGTGTTATGAAACCCCATCCCATCTGCCCATCGTTGTGTTGATGGTTGATGTGATTGGTACGCTGTCACAATCAGCTGTACTTTGACACACGCTATAAAGGCTAGCTAGGCTGGAGATATAACCATGTCAATTGCACAGGCGGTCATGAAATGTATGTCAGCGAACATCGGGGGACATCAGCGACCGCAGTAGACGCACAGTGCCCGATAACGTCGTCTCACCTGTCAAAACATCGACATCAAAACCACTTACCCGTAACTTCAGACAAGTTGTCCTTTTGCAGCAAGGGTGCTTAACGTGGGAATAATTAGTTCATATTCACTTAATTCTTATGAGGTTCCCGTGAGTTCGTGTGTGGTGATTTTTGACATCTACAATACTGGACTAGTATTTCCTGTTGACGATAATCCAGCGACTGGCATAGTGAATGGGTGGGTGTTCTTGTTGCGTTTTGGCGCTCTCTCCGTCCATGGGACACAAACATTTCACGTAACTTTAAGTAACCTTGTTAAAACCCTGGCTCAGTTAGACCCTGGTTGGATGCAACGCGGACAGTTTTGGAAATAAGTTTTTTAACCTTGTAGACTTTACTTTGTACAATTGTAACTGAATTTTAATGGGGGGTTTTCATACAAAATCAGCTAATATGGATTATTCAAAACACTCAAGATATGTCCTTTGTTTAAATTTGTTGGCCCCAGTTATTTTTTCAGATATTGCTTAAAATATCAAATAACTATCTTTTTTCATGACACTGTATTTCAGCGAGTTTTTTCTGTGATCATTGATCCGTTCATCGAAAATGTTTCTGTTTGTTCCGAATCTGCGCCCAAACACGCCCGAGGCTTCTTAGCCCTTCACCCTTCACCTATCACCTTGAAATCTTTAGTGGTACATTTTACAAACCGGTTTAAGATCCTACGATATCATAACTGTTTACGCCCGTCGTAATCCACCCAAACCGGTTTCATGTAACCAGTTACCTATCTGTTTGGCTGTGTCATTGACACGAACCCATGCCGCTAACCTACCACTTGTAGTGAGTGTTTTGTTGAAGCTCAGTCACCGTAAAATGAATACTGTAGACGTCAATGGACAACTGTAAACACTATTGGCCCAACAGTAATCGTATTATTCATGTAGGGAACAGTGCCTTCAAACTCCGATCACAGAGTGTTAAATGACGCACGAACGCGTTGATCTGTGAATGTCACCGGTCACAATAACTCACGGTAATTCTCACTAAAATGTAATCATGGCTATCGTTAACAAATGGTGGGAGTTATTACATGTACTATAAGATTTCTCAGAAAATAATACTGTTATGTCACTATGTATGTCGGTTGTGAATGAAATCGGTACGTAGCAGTGTGCGAAATAGCCACTGGCCCGCTACCACGCGGCTAATACAATTCCAGTCTGGTCAATAAATCTCCACAGTCACTGACCTGACTGGCTGGTGAATTTTCCAAATGGGGTCATTTTGTAAATATATCACTCTCTCCGACTAACACACATTTAAATCATGCGCAATAATGGCCTGATAAAAATGTTCATTATATTAGCAGCTTAATGATGAAAATGTATTGTAATTAATTTTTTTTAACACCTATGTATGTACCCTTTTGTAGAGGAGTTTACCAGCTTTTTGTATATGTGACTCCCGTCACTGTATCTGATTTTATAAGGGAGATAAGCGTTTATGCCGCTCCCACCTTAATGTATACCCCTTATTTTATCAGGGTTTTTGCTAACTACAAAATTGTACAAACTATTGTCTCAATATCCACCTATATCTAATTGTAGTAGAGCTCACGCTCTTCTTATACATGTATTCCCCTTCACTGTGCATACGCTTACAAGTTAGTTATAGTCGTTTATTTACCCAAGTATTACACAGGGTGGAAGCGCTCTCCGCGCGAAATGTGGAGTTGCCAAAAGCAACTCCATTTCCTCGCTGGACAGTGAAAGATGAACATGTGGCGCAAGAGTAATGGTAAGTTATCCCTCGCATTTTCATTATTTTGGAAGTATATCAGGTTTTGCCATTTGGCAGACGGGTCTAGAAATGTACAGATCTTTCTATAATAGCTTGACACCCTCTCTATTTATTACAATTACGCGTTGAGCGAGGGCACCCTCCTGAGTGTCGAAACAAGATCGCGGAAAATGATCGATTTAACACGAAATATGACAACCCATCAGCAGACACGCCTTTTTGCTGTCAATTCTTAGATATAGTTGTCTTAGGTCTTCATTCACAGTTTAGGCTTTAATACGTCAGTATTTTTTCAGTTATCGTCGAAAAATCAAACTAGTTTTATATGGAGTTGCTCACATTTAGCAAACAAACTGTCCATTGCGTTGTGATTTTACTGTCCAGGGAGTTGACAGTTTGTAGTTTTAACCGTCATGTCATCAAACGTTATTCTAGAGATATTTGTTGTGAAGAAGACTGTTTTGTTGTAGACCTGTTGTGAACAAGAATTACCTGCGTACCTGGCCTATTTTGGCGTATTTATCACGATTGCCATCAAGTACGATTGTACACCCTCATTTCAGTTTGTACCCTGACAGGGATTTAATGTAAAAAAATCATGTACGATCAGAAGTGTATTAACGAATATACATCTACCCAAGGAATAACCAAGTCCAAGGACCCGTTTCACAAAGCTCTCGTAAGCCGAAAATCTCTTACCTTTCTCGAAGCATTCGTACGTACTATACTGTAACAATGACTTACGATATCGCTACGAGAGCTTTGTGAGCCCAGGTTATTCAAAAGTATGTGCATTGTTCATACTATCATTCAGATATTAGTATTGCACATTCGGGTAAAGCACATCACTAAGCATACTTCAAACTTCTCTGGTATTCACTATTAAAGAATGATATTCATGGACGAATTCTAAATGTGCTTAAGAATATGTATTCCAAAATAATGTCTGCTGTCCGAATAACCAACACCTCAATCTCTGAATACTTTGACTGTCTTAGCGGAGTTAGACAAGGATGTGTCTTGAGCCCCTTTTTGTTCACGATGTTTATATCAGAATTACAGGTGTTGCTAGAAAACGCGGAAATTAGAGGAATATTTGTTGGATCTGAATTTTTAGAAATATTACTTTTGCTTTATGCTGACGATTTATGTATTTTCGATGACTCTGTTATTGGACTACAAAGAAAAATTGACATTCTAAACGACTACTGTACAACGTGGGGATTACAAGTTAACATGGATAAAACAGAGATATTGGTTTTTCGAAACGGAGGTAGATTACGTCACTATGAAAAATGGTTTCTTCAAGGAGCACAGTTAAAAACCTCTACATACTACAACTATCTTGGAATTCTCTTCTCTACACGTCTGTCATGAACTAAATGTACAGAGACACTATCGACCAAAGCAAACAAGGCATTATTTTCTATAAAGAAGTTAATCTACATGTATCAAATTATTCCAGTTAATATTCTTTTAAGCTCTTTGATACCAAAGTGAAGCCAATTTTACTTTATAGTGCAGAAGTGTGGGGTTATCAAGAACGACAGTTAATTAACAAATTTCATACAAATTTCTGTAAATATGTTCTTGGCGTACGTAAACATGTTTCTAGCAATGCTATATTAGCAGATTGTGGTAGATTTTGTATAAGTGTTGATTATTATGTTAAATGTGTACGTTACTGGTGTATATTACTTCATATGTCTGAAGACAGGTATCCTAAACAATGCTATATTTTGATGAAAAAATCTCGACGCAGCTGGTAGATATACTTGGGCATCATATGTAAAAAGTTTGTTAAACATCAACGGGTTTGGATTTGTGTGGTTTAGTCATGATGTTGGCAATATTAATCATTTTATATCCATGTTCAAACAGAGGCTTATTGATGTAAAGGGGCAAAGCATATTGAGTAGAATTAATGAATCATCGCATTTAGCTTACTACAAGACCATTAAATCTTTATTAGATGTAGAGTTTTATGTCTCAAATGTACATTTTAAAGAATATAGACGATATTTATGCTTACTTAGACTTCATCACCTACCCCTTCTTTGTAATGGAAGACGAAAAGATGATAGTTATGCCTCAACAATATGTAAAATGTGTAACAGTAATGTCCCAGAGGATGAATTACATTTTCTTTTTGTCTGTGATGTATATGTAAGGTTATGCAGTATATATTTACCAAATTTTGATCAATGTCCAACTATCATTAAGTTTAAAAACTTAATGCTATGTAATAATACCAGTATTCTTCTTAAAACTGTGCAGTTTATTAAGCATGCCCTCGTGATCAGATCAAATGTGTGTAAATAATGTGTAACATTGTGTATTGCCTTGTCTAAAATGATATTTTGTATCCTATGATTGTACATGGGCCGATGGCCTACTTACAGAAAATAAAATTCATTCATCCACATCACTAAGCATCTGAAAACCAAGGGGCATCTAACCAATGTTGAATGAGCAAAATCAAATAAAATTAATCACTTCCTCTGTTCCCACCGGTGGCACCAGCGATATGGACAAGTCAATGGCCGTTGTTTAAGCAGAAATCCAAATGACACAAGACGAGCAGCAGCCTGACCAGATGCAACTCCAACCAGAAAGGGCCAGGAGAGCTGCAGTCAGGCACTCCTGGGTGCTCATAGAGGAGAGGGGATAACAGTTTGGTAAGTTCTCCAGCCTCCTAGACACCCATTTGAGGCTTGAGGATCCAGTAGCGTTCCAAAACTACACAAGGTTAACACCACAGCTCTTCGATGAAGTCTTGCATAGGGTGGCCCTAGCAATCGATAGGGAAGTCACCAGTTTCAGGCAACCCCTTTCACTTGGACTGAAACTGGCAGTCACACTTAGGAAACTTGAGGCTGGAGACAACCATGGGTCTCTTGCGTATGCCTTCAGGTGTGGAGTGTCCACCATCTCAGAGATGGTTCGAGAAGTGTGACAGGCAATTGTGTTTAGCCTACCTGTGACCCCTGAAGCCTGGACAGCCGTAGCTAACCAGTTTGAACAGAGATGGATATATCCCACGCCATTGGGGCCCTGGATGGCAAACACATTGCTATCAAGAAGCCACCTCAAACTGGCAGTCATTTACAAGGGCGTCTTTTCGATACCACTCCTAGCTCTGATGGAGGCAGATTACAATTTTGTGTGGATCGAGCTTCGTAGAATAGGACACATGTCAGATGCTATTATATGTGGCGACTCGGGGCTGGTCAACGGCATGGAAGAGGAAGCCCTGGGACCGTCCACACCCTGCCCTCTGACTGACCACCAAGACATGCCCTTCTTCATCCCTCGCACTCAGGAACAACCTCATGAAGTCATACAGCAGAAGAAGGATGTCCAGGAAGGAGGGACTCTCAAGAGGGAGGAGAATGGTGGTTAAAGGCCTTTGGGATCCTGGGATCCTGGCTAATAGATTCAGGTGTCTTCTCATGACACTAGGGCAGATGCCCAATACTGTGAAGGATAAAATGAAAACTTCTCGTGGTGACCACGGTGGAAAAACATGATATTTTTCTGACCCGTATGATCATTTGACTCATAGAAAACGACAAAATGATTGAAATCCATATTGCTTTTATGATGATTATTGCTCATTTTAAGAAAACGCAGTGACTGATTTTTATACAAAACCATGTCTGTAAAGTATGGCCCTGGAATGTTTAATGTTGAATTTATTGTCAAAAATGTCAAAATTCAAAATGTCATTTTGCGTATCTAAACGATTCAAGGCTAATACCGAGTGTAACCTCCATGTGACTGTATGACAGTCAGCACCCTCCTCCTCTCCTCAGCGTCCTGATCCTCTAACTAAGTCTGCTCCATTCCTTGTGTATATATGTTCGGATCCCTTTTTGCCACGATATAGACTATTCCAAAGGGTTAAATTGGATATATAGACTTGTAATTATAAATAAGTTCATGATATGTTAGTAAAGGTGTGTGAATGGTAGACTTGTCATCTTATATTTGTAAAAATAACATTTATATAAAAGAGGTATGTGTCATGGTAATCGATAACCTGTGTTGATCCATGTGCGTGTACAGAGGCCATAACCCGCCCTATCTTCCTTGTTAACATAGTGTGTATCTTTAAACTCCAGTGATCCGTTAGTCTTCTAGTCTCACATACACGCATGCATGGTAAATCAACGTCACTGCATTAAAGATCCAGGGTTCAACATGCGTCTCTTAGTTTCTTAGTCCACTGACACATCGTACAGTTGTTTTTGAATTACTGTTGCTTTCAATTTGTTTTGTTGTTGTTGTTGGGTTTCCTGTAGGTGTTATTTTTCAATTTAGATGTTATTGTGAGCTGTAGATCTCTCTCTCTCTCTCTCTCTCTCTCTCTCTCTCTCTCTCTCTCTCTCTCTCTCTCTCTCTCTCTCTCTCTCTCTCTCTAGGACTCTCTCTCTGGTTTGTATTCTCTCTCTATATGGTGAAATATTAGAATGATTTACCTTTTAGGACTATGTAATGGTTTGTATTTCCTATATAGAATGATTTCCCTGTACAGGGATACAAAATGGCTTTCTATTTATATGGGTAATAGTAGAACTACTTCCTGTTTAGGTAGCTATGTTGGCTTGTACAGTACATGAAATACATTTACTTAAGCATTACTTTGCCTATATACACGTTTGATTTCCCATTACGTTTACTGAATTGAGACACATAACCATGCCAATAATGGTTGTCACCCCCATCCATTTCATTAATAGGCTGGGGGTGGGGGAGTGGGGGTGTGTGTGTTTTGACAACCATTATTGGCATGAGTATATATTAACATTTTTACCTTTATATCGGACAACATTAAGAATGAATTTCCCTCCATTAGGACCATACAGGAGTTTCTGTCCCCTTCACTCAGCTGTAAACCAGTAAAACTGTTATATACATGTAGGCAGGTTTAACTAGATACTTTACACATGGGCGTGTAGATGCAGTACAGTATTCACAGATATGCGTCTTTCAGTAGTATGGGGCCTTTAATGGGTTGGAAGCAGATAGGGGAGTGTTATTGTTGAAGGGATCCCTCCTCACGACACGGAGACCAACTGTACTGTATGATTATATCTACACAGGAGCACGGAGACCAACTGTACTGTATGATTATATCTACACAGGAGCCCTTTGTCAGTAACAATAAAAACATAAGCACTAGCTGGAGATAATTGTCCAAAACAGTTGTAGCAAATCACGGAAGCCCCATATCACGGAGTGACTTCGAGGTTTTGTTCAGTTCTTAGTGAAGGCTGTTGGGGACGTTGTGAGTTACAACGTTAATAATCTACTTGCTTGCTGGGAGTACACGCTGGAAAAGGAAAAAGTACATCGATCCTGGTTCCACGCCCACAATGGATGTGAAGTACATACTGATCATAGCTGGGTTGTGTCTCTGTTTCCATCTTCTTCATGGTAAAGTACAATTTGAAGCTCTTTTCAATTTCGGTCTTACCTCTTTTGAGGGCGTCAGTGATACGAAAGCTGAGCGTTTCGAAAAACTAGAGAAAAACGTCTCTCTGCACCGTTGCAAATACGCATGCGTAGACCGTGCTTCCTGTCAAGGCGCTATCTTCAGTGAGATCAACTCTGACGGGTGCTTCCCGACCAACTGCACCAACTTCTACTCCCGGGGGCTATATGGGGAGTGTCACCTCCTTACATTGGACGACGCCGCTGATGTCATTGACTTTGCCAGTGAACTTGAAGGGAAAAGGCGAAATTATTTCTTAAACCTTCGTAAGTACTAACGATACCTCATGTTCTTTAGATGTGTTTATTTCGTACTGTCTCCATGATTTTTATGTCGGCGACTAAAGTCGCCGCAATTAGGTAAGATTGTTTGTGCCCTTGAGTCATGTTAGTGAGTCTAGTTTTACGCCGCTTTTAGCAATATTTCAGCAGTATCTAGGGTGGGGGACATCAGGATTGGGCTTCACATATTGTACCCATGTGGGGAGTTGAACCCGGGTCTTTGGCGTGACGAGCGAACGCCTTAACCACTAAGCTACCCCACCGCCCACTTGAGTCACGTTAGGTAATGGTAGGTCAAAGTGATAAACATATACGACCTTGCTCACATTATACTTCCATCTGACACTGAGCTGAAATATCACTGCAATATTACATAAAATAGCCTATCTAACCCAAAATAACCTATTAAACCATTCGTGGCCTAGTGGAATGAGCGTCTGTCTGGGAGACTGATCGGCGCAAAGTCATTATACTCTGTCCATGATGTTAAACTGCAGCATAGAGACCAAAATGTTGGAATCAGCCACACACAGGTTCATTTGCATCGCTCTATCGGTGCAATAATCTTGTAAGCGACGTAGAATCTCACCTCACCTCACCTCACCTCACCTCACCTCACCTCACCTCGCCTCACCGTCGTATAGGGCGGAGGGACAGCCTAGTGGTTAAAGCGTTCGCTCGTCACGCCAAAGACCCGGTTCCGATCCCTTACATAGGTGCAATGTGTGAAGCCCATTTCTGGGGTCCCCTGCTGGAATATTGCTAAAACGGTGCAAAACCACACTCACTCAGTCATGGTCTTTCAACGTTGGAGGAAATCATGATTTTCAAATATATACATATTTATTCATCGTATGTGTATCTGATTGATATGTCGTTTGCTTAAAACCTGATTATAATCAGCCTTACCTGTCCCACATACGTCCTCCCAATCAACCCACCATACGTTATCTTAATGGGTTGTGTATGGCGTGGCTAAGTCCCACCAAGGACGTGGGGTGGATAAGCCAATGTTGTGGGTGCAGTTAGACCTTCGCAAAAATACGGACTACATAAGGAATACGCATGCGCAAAGTCTTACTTCGTGACAACCTAAAATTCGACACAAGGGGGTTTAGTGAATGTCGAATTTATTATGACAGTCTCTGGAATACACATTATATTTCACATTCAAAATGAATACATTTCTATTACAAGTTGATTCCAACATTGAGACACGTAACTAATTAAGTAGGTTAAACCAGAACTAGGTACAATTAGAAAAAGAGATTTAATAAGTACACTCTTCACAAAAAGAAACGCATATTTGATTTTGAGAATATTTGACTCATGTAGCTGCGGCAATACAATACAATACAAATATACTATTTCTTTGTGTGTCATCATTGTGTGATTTTAAACAGCTTCAGCGCCAAAACGTTAACGGCAATTTTAACTTTTCCACTTGTTTTAGGAGCGTTTGAAGTAATATTCGCAAAACATCACCAAGAAAACATGATAAGCAAATTGCACGTGCAAGTAAGCGGAAAAGCATGCGGTATCGATCACTATAAAAAGGGAAACGTTTTGTTTAATTTTGTCATTCGTTTTTGCCTGGAAAAAGAGTCAATCATCATGCCACAACTGAGTGCTGCCAGTCGAAACATCGCCATAGGCCGCCTTGAAGCTGGGGAGTCGCAGTCTGCAGTTACCAAACATTTCAACATTTATCACCGCACCATATCTCGACTTTGGGATCGTTTCCTGCAGACCAATTCCGGTCAAGATCGCCCGAGAAGCGGGAATCCAAGAGTTACCACCCAAGCACAGGACCGCTGCATCTGGGTTGCGCACTTGCGTTATCCTCCTGCCACAGCCGTGGAGACTGCACAACGCATCCCTGGTTTGAGAAGAATTTCCGACCAAACTCTCAGGAATCGATTGCGTGAAGTGGGGGATTTGACCAAGAAGACCAGTTGTCGCCCCTGTGCTCAGAGACGTCAATCGGCGCAGTCGCTTGCGGTGGTATGGTAGGGTCCCGGAACTGGAATCTTAGAAACTAGAGGCCAGTCTGGTTCAGTGATGAATCACGATTTCCGCTTCACCGGCGAGATGGAAGACAGCGTGTTTACCGTTGGAGAAATGAACGTTTTGACCCTAATTGCATTCGACAGATGGACAGAAGCAGTGGAGGCGGAGAGAGTGTCATGGTGTGGGGTACGATATCCAGCACACGAAGATCTGATTTAGTGGTGGTGCAGGGGAATTGGACGGCAAATCGGTACATCAAGGAAGACCTTGCACGTCACATCCTTCCGATGATGGACCGACAGAAGGAGTTGTTCCAGCATGACAACGCCACTTCATATACAGCACGCGTCACGGTTCGCTACCTTGCCAATTCTAACGTCTTGTCAAGGCCTTCCCGATCACCAGATATAAACCCGATAGAACACCTATGGGATGAACTCGATCGATGTCAAAACGCGCCTCAGACACTGGCCATCGCATTTCAGGAAGAGTGGTGGAAGAATGCCGCAAGAGCGACTTCGTCGACTTTTTCAGTCTGTGTCGAGACGGTACCGAGCAGTAATTGCTGCCAATGGTGGCCATACAAAGTACTGACTTTGACGCCATCGTGGACTCAAGTAAACAGAAACACAACAACAAAAGTTGCTGTTGTGTTGGCGAGTTCTTTGTCTATAGACGTATGAATTTCACCATTTTTACCAGTGAAATTACATAAGTAATTGCTCTTAAACTAACGCAATAAATTCTTCTAAAATGGCTTATGTGGTTCTCTTTTTTTGAAGAGTGTACATGCTCTGTTCATCAATCCAGTAAACAGTGTTCGAAGCAGTCAGACTGGTCAGCAGTGTCAGACTGGTATCACGCTCCCACAGTCGCAAGTCACAACGTAGGAAAAGACCTCGAATCGCTGTTATCGCGTTCTTTTGTAGGTTGAGCGAGTCATTTAGAAACCGAAACCTCGACGCAAACAGGCGGATAATAGAAATACCCCAGTAACAAATGACACTTGAGCATTTTACAAACGCTTCAATCTGCTACCACTGCATTAGAAATACATGCCGCATAGCAATCGTTAAAATCAGAACAGTAATTGAAATCACTTTGTTCTCTGATAAGTTTCTGATTACCGTATCTTTAATTCTGAACAATACTTCACCATATCCCAGACAAACTATGTAAGGCCTTCTGACTGATCCTTAATGTCTGCATGATAGCACGGAGCGGTGGGGTAGCCTAGTGGTTAAAGCGTTCACTCGTCACGCTGAAGTCCCGGGTTCCATTCCCTACATGGATACAATGTGTGAAGTCCATTTCTGGTGTCCCCCGCCATGATATTGCTGGAATATTGCTAAAAGCGGCTTAAAACTAAACTCACTCATGACAGCCCAGACATTTTGTTTACTTCAGCCACATTGTGTCGTCCTATACCTCAGACGAGGGAGGAGCTGATGTTCACGTCTCCCGAGGTGTACAACGTCACCCTTGACAAGGCAGACAACAACTGCTACATCTTCAAATACCGCTGTCGTCCTGGTTACACTGCTGTCGGCAACCCTGAAGCCCGGTGTTGTAACAACGGCATCCGAAGCCCAATCACTCTCGAGTGTCACGGTACGTTCAATTGGACGAGTTCACTGGCTTTCTGTATTTGTAAAAAGAATGGTTTTATAGCTAAACCAGTACTTTTGTACAAAGAATGCATATGATTACTGATTGAGCTCAATATATGGTTTCATTTAGATAGCAACGGCTAACATATAATCTGTAAGCATATTCTTATATATGTAAGCATATTATATATTTATGTTTATCAATCGTTTATACGGGCGGTGGGGTAGTCCAGTGGTTAAAGTGTCCGCTCGTCAAGCGGGTTCGATTCCCCACATGGGTACAATGTGTGAAGCCCATTTCTGGTGTCCCTCGTTGTGATATTGTTGGAACATTACTAAAAGCGGAGTAAAACCACACTCACTCACACGTTTATACATTTCCAGTTTCATCATTTCTGACAGAAGTTTAAATACACGATTTAATTGGCTTAATTCTTCTCTTTATATATTTCTTTAGATGAAATCAGTGAGATGTGTCACCTAATACAAATCTTATATCTTTGCGTTTCAGAAGACAAATAAGCATGAGAACTCAGGCGTTAGCAGGCCACTATAGCACAGCCTCTTCGTTCAAGATCCCGAATAAATTCCCGATTTACAAATGAGTGCAAACGATTAATATCATTATAAGGAACATCTTGCAGTAAAATACAGTTTATTCTTTCGGTCTGATTTTTTTTTAATTATCTCTTTTCACTCGTGGGGTGTTTAGACATGTGCACATTGGTCATGTGGGTATATATATATATTGGACAAAATAAGTTAGGGATATTGGTATTTTTATGATTGATATTTTATCAGTGTGTCAATGAATAAATAGATCATTATTCATAATTTCAAAATTTACATATTTCCCCAACTATTTTTGTCCAGTATACATAAAAAGCTACGAAACATATTTCCATAATAATGAGAATCTCGGTTTCAGCGAACAAGAAATGGTTATTCAATGCTGATGTATTTGATACGAGAGGCCATAGTTGTGTTTTGGTCCTGACGTTTGCAGTGTTTTTAGAGACTGTCTTAAGCCGAGTAACGTGCTGATAAGGTTTGGAATTTTGGGGTTGCATCCCAGATAAATACATGTTAATATTTCTTAAAAGCTGGCAAAAATACCTGTAACAATATGGTTCTTTGTGAGTGTGGCAGATTCCCTCTTCAACTTTCTTATATGTCAAGGGCAGTTAAATATTGGTGTAGACTTTTAACTCTTCCAAGTTGTAGATTACCTCATCGGTTTTATTCAATGTTAAAGTCTTTGGATGAATCTGGATGCACGGCATGGGCATCTCATATCAAGAATATATTATTTAGATTTGGTTTGGCTTTGTTTGGATTTCCCAGGATACTGGAGATATTGATGGTTTCATTTCTGTCTTTAAGCAGAGATTGTCTGATAATCTTTCACAAGACTGGTATACAGCCCTACATTATACAAGCAAGTATTTTAATTATATACTTTTCAAGTCCCTCCTAAATGCTGAGACTTATCTCAGTTTAGATACTGACCCATACTTAGAAATTGTTTGACAAAATGTAGACGTGGTAATTTTAAACTTAGTAGAGACTGGTAAATATAACAATGTCCCTTATAGTTTAAGTTTTTGTCCTTCTTGCCAAAAAATTAATCTTAATTTAATTGAAGATGAAATACCTGTTTTACTATATTGTAAAACCTACAAAGATATCAGGAATAAATTTCTAGATACACATTTTAAACATTCTCTATCACAACACAGTTTTGTTAATATAATGTCTTCAACGAATATAAATGTTACAAACATTTTAATGATTTATGCCTATCTCTATATAATGTTAAAAATATATACATTTCTGATGTTTTTCTGTGAAGCGTTTTTTGTTGTGCCCGACAGCTGACATCATATGCAAACCACTGTGTTTCTGTATCACCGGCACATAGTGATGATACATTTTTCAAAGTTATCTAGGAGAAAAAAGACAGGAGTAAATGGTACGACTAGTCAAAATATGGAAGTCTCTGGAAAGTCAAATTTGTAACTGTACTCCATAAAATATAAGTAGTAAAATGTAGTTTTGAAAAACTTTACTCGGCCTTGAATGTTGTAAATTTGATTAAACACCTATTGAGCCAGAATTGTAAGACTTGACTACGGAAGAGTTGAAGTCATCCAGTGACGTCATGAAGCATAACAGTTATCATTGGAGGCTGTGTGCATTTTGTAGAAACGAGGCCCAATGTTTTGCAAACCACCATTATCGTGTAAACAAGCAGTTTGAAAGTTAAGACAAAACATTTAGAAACTCATACGTAACAACCAGTTTTATTAAGCAAGATCCGGTTTGACATTTGAAATCAGCAAAACAGCAGGAACGTACACAGATACATATTCAGAAAGATCCTGTAAATGGTATTAATCTTCTATAGTTTTCATGTTACTATATTCCCTGTTCATGTATAAAATTCCAATGTCCATAGTTCCCTATTCCCAGCCCTTCTTGATCGAAGTGAAGAGATATCCCACCCAAATCACCCCAAGCCTGGCGGTGGAGTCAACTGCCACTGGCGACAACTGTATAAAAGTTGATACAGCAAGCTTCGTTTATATCGAACGCGCTCATAACGAACTGTCTGATTTAACGAAGTAGGTCCCGGCCATTCGCTGGCTTTAGTCGAAATGTGTTTAACACACTACGGTTATAACGACTAAAATTGTGGTCCCTTGGGTTCGCAGGGGTGGAAATAACCCATTGCCCAACGTCCGAGTCCAGTGTTTTTTCTGTCGGGCAAGCAAATTTGTATATCACACTGTACCGGTGTCCAGTTCACTTTCCAATGTTTATTATGTTGTTTATTTAAAAAATCAGCAAGAAAACGGTTGGTACAGTGGGAAAATAATCAGGGCAAGTGATTTTACATGTGCCACTATACCGGAGTACACCAGCAATTTTAAACTTATTTCCACCCCTGGGTTCGGTAGTAGTAGTAGAGTGTATATTGAACAGGTTCGTTATCATGCCTTATCTTCAAAAACCTCGTTACCATGACGATGTATGACATGACGATGTATGAGCTAGAGATATACGTGGGCATGTTTAAGAAGACAATTTGGGATTTCTAATTAAATGCCCTCTAGCAGCAGATAGATGCCGTTACAAGTGAAACCACATACTCACAATGTGAGTTATAAAGGTAGTTCATCGAAATGCAATCAACAGATCAACATAGCTCTATACTAAAACAATCATGACATGTTTCGTATCTTGTTGAAACTATCTTGGATTTGATCTGAATTTAACGCTTTTCGATGACATTGATATAATGAAAATGTCTATAAAGACTGAACCAGACAGAGGGAAACCATTGACATTTGACCGTCCTCTGCACAACCATATGAACATGACCGTCCAGAAAACAAAGTTGTTTCTAAAGAGTTGTCTCCCATAGTAGGATGCGCTGATGGCGGATTCTCAGCCCCATTTTACTGCACCTGTGCAACATACATGAACTGTTAAAAAATGCAACAGTTTATACTATGTCGTATAACTTATAATAATATTTAAACACTGGTGATGCCTTAAATGCTTTAATACCTTTCTTTTGGATACCTGAACCCTTAAACACTTAAAGCAGTGATCGAACGGTCGCAATACAATTTCTATGAGAATTTGAAAAATGCCATAATGCGTAAAAACATTTTATTCAGTATAACTGTATACATACATACATACATACATACATACATACATACATACATACATACATACATCTCATTCATAATATCTTTAAATCTCTATAATTCAATGTTATTGTATACAGACGCGTATATATATTCAAGTTCCCATACCTAATATCGCCACAAATGCGGTTATCTGCGTCCACGAGTAGAAAGAGACTTGTTCACCGCGACTCGGACAATCTGTTGTGGGAATACACGCTGTGACCACCAACTCCACAGTTGCCTTCCAGGGCGAGAAGAGTTGAGGAAATCCGTTGTCACGACACCCCACCTGAACGGGTGTTGTCACCCCAAGAGACACATTGGATAGGATCGTCACCTGACCCGTGGAGTCGACCTGAAACAGCGGATGGTGAGCAGATGGTGAGTGGGTGGGAGGCTTGATGAGTAAATGGGTAGGGGGGTCACTGTTGTTAGCTGTACGAACTGTAACAGCTCTTTTCGTTACTTACTGACTTGTTGGTCCCTGCCTGGCGCTCGGCATTAATGGGTACAACAAGGACTGGTCGACTCGGAGTCAGTATAATGTGTCTGAGTGTGGTATTCATGCTTCACTGCGGCATACGGTATCTCAGTGAGCTAGCACTATAAAACCAGCTTAAGTCTGGGCTAGTACAAGCAGCCGCACATACACATACACACGCATGCACGTCGTCATATGAGCGAAATATTCTCAAGCACGACGTTAAACCAATTTCACCTCACCCCACTGAGTGACATCATATATATTGCTGGAACTGCATTTAGTACATGTTTTTGCATGAATTTCTTTAGTTTTCCACATATAGATAGTTTTGCTCATCACCACAAATATATAAAGGAGTTCCTACTTATTTCAAGTTTTCGAACAACTCCAACCTGTATTTGTGCCAAACCCGCATTTATTTAAAATAGCAATAACAATTATAAATCACGAACGTCACTTCCAGTCTTCATGGATGTCAGTATTGTAAACCACTGGCCTTGCGATACTGTCCTGGGGTTCGGTCAGAGATGAGGAGCAAGATTGTTTATGTGGCCTTACCAACAAATTCAAGCACTAAAACCTATCTTCAAATATTTTATGTATCTTTTATTCATATTCAAAATATATTCCCCATTGATACTGGATAGTCCGTTGGATACAACCGATGTGACTTGGATAAGATATGACTATCCTCAGACTCGTACATGGATGAGGCAATTTGAATTGATTGCCAGGCTCGATCGCGTATCTTCGTACACACTCATAACATCAACCACTGGTTTACCAGCCTAAATTATTTCAAGCCGCTGTGATACACTGGACTATTATTCGAGTTTTATAGCAGGACTATTGTTCCAGTTTCTCGCTTCATACACAACGACTGACTGACTGAGTTTGGTTTTACGCCGCTTTTAGCATTATTCCAGCAATATCACGGCGGGGGGACACCAGAAATGGGCTTCACTCATTGTACCCATGTGGGGATTCGAACCCGGGTCTTCGGCGTGACGAGCCAACGCTTTAACCACTAGGCTACCCCACCGGCCCCTCATACACAACGAGGCTTCTTTTGGTAGAGATCACGCTGTGCAAAGAGTAAATCAATATTATCAATTAATCCCAAACTCTTGAGGACAATGTAATTTTTTTCATATTTATAAAGTAAAGTGTTTCGACACTAACATAAAGGTACTCACTGTTACGCCTCCCATGCTGACGATGTCGTATACGATAATGTTATTTGGCGCACTGATGTCCATGTCCGTGGCCTTCACGGACCCAAGTACCTTTCCCGGGGGGATCACATTCAGATACCGTAAAACTATAGGTAGTTTGGTCGAATACTGGGAGATTGTCGTTGACGTCCGTGACGGTAATAGTAACAACTACGTCTTCAGAGAGACCACCTTTCGTGTCGGAGACTTTCATCGTCAAACTCGTCACAGGACCAAGCGTTTCAACGTCATACTGGACCACAGAA